CGGTTGTTCGCGGCGTGTGAACGATTCGTGGGGAGGAGACCGGCGCCGTTACGCCCGATGATGTTTAATCACTGGTTTTGACAACTTTGTTTTCCCGTCTTGCTTGGCAGGGGCTGGGAGGAGGACGCGGGAGTAGCTGCTGTTACGCCGAAAGTGGTACGAGCCCTCAGGTCCCCCCTAACGTCCCTTCCTCAGACCGAGAACAGGTACGGGCTGCCCGCCTGCGGTTACGGGTAGCGTGGGTCCGTCTGGAGGGGTCTACAGAAGCAGAAATTTGCCTTCGCTCGAACTCATTCTTCCTTCTCTTTTGGCAGCTTAATCAGAGAGAGCGTTAGAGACTTGCTAGACTGAGGAAATGAAAATTCACTTTAACCGTAATAAATTATTTGCTCATAGGCCCTCTTAATGACAGCTGTCACTCTGCCATTGGTTTTGAGCCCAGTGAAACGTTGCATATAGCAGCTTTGGTAATGTACGATGCGAAAAGTGCTTGCTGAATGGCATGTTCCAGGTATCTTTTATTTGTCTTTCCAGGAAGGTGGAGCTGGAGCTGGGTAATATTGTTACCATTTTTGTAATGTGCTTTTAGTTAAAAATACAGATTTCTCCTTTAAAATCTGTAGGATGAAGGTGAGACATGAAACCTTTTTCATGTTGTGTAGCATCTTACTTCATGGGAGTTCTTTCGCTTGATCCCATGCCCTGATCTTTTAGATCAGTGTAAGGTCTTTGCTTTACAGCCTGCAAAACTGTACGTATGTAAAACACACTATGAAGTTTAATATGAAAATAGTTAGTAAAATCAGCTGGGAAAGAAGTCGTGTCTTACGTGCAGACTTCCATATTAACAACTGTGTTTTCGTGCTCTTGAGTCTTCACACACTGTAGGAAAACTGATAGTGCAGAAGAGGGTGGCGTAATACACACATGAGATATTACTATGTAAGAACTAGTTTGCAAATATTTTTGCTATTCTCTTTTACTTTATATGGCCTCATTAACATTGCCATTCCAATGATTATTATCTGTTAATATATATTATGGTCAAAAACACATGATAAAAATTAGAGCTTGGGAATTGAGGCTTTGATGGGAACTGAGATGTCCTGGTTATATGGAAGTAAATGGTGACAATGCAGTTAACCTTACTGAGGCCGCTGTCTCACCCAGTCTAGCTGAATTTGAGGTCGAAACAACATAAGCTTTCCCTAAGTGAATGCAAGTGACACTAGTCGTAGTAACCATTGCAGTGTACCCTAACAGTAGGTTTCTTACTTGTTTCCAATGCAAGACCCTTATGCGCCCTGCCTCAAAATTTAGAATTTTCACAAGCTGTAAATTTATAACATCTTTCAAAATTAGACCGAAACAAAAGGAACATTTGCAGAATTCTAACTGCTTATGTGCTTCTAGCTTGCTTCTCTTTCCTGTGCTCATTTTTTCCCCTTTCTGCCCTTTTTTTCCCCTTCTATTCCACTCCTTACAGTTTATTGGTTTGGCAGTATGTACTCTGTTATGCTTTGTTTTTTATAGCTGTCACTCCTGTTTTGTGTTATGGCTGTGGTTTCCCCCTGCCCCATCTTCTCATACCCTTCCTTTTCCCAGCTAGTTTCTGAGCTGCAGTCTCCTTCCACTCAGCTCTGTGTGCTAAACCATGGAGCCAAACTGACTAGAAATGCTGGCAGAGGGCACTTCAGAAAACAGAGTCTAGCTACTTCCCATCTGCTGTTAGTACACTCACAACTGGAGCAAAGAAGTGGAAGCAAACACATACCGAAGAGGGCTGAAAATTCATGGCATGTATGGGTCAGTTTTTAATCTCTGTAATAAGGCAAGTGAGCATGAGAGTTTAAATACATGTTTTTCCTTAATCTACTTGGAGGTTTTTGGCATCAATTTGGAGCTAGTTTTGATCAACCCAAAATTGTATTTCTTCGTGACTACGTGACTGCAAATTGTGACAAGTAAATTATTCAACAAAAAAAGTTTCATTTCACTCCAGCTCCTGTAACTGTGTCTTTGGAGGGGTGGCTTGCTGGCTGAATCCAAGAGAGGATGTTCTTTCTTACCTGAGTGACTACGCTCAGTAAGTTGGCCTGACAGGACTTTGTGGTGCATGTTTGGCATATGAGGAAGGAGAGAGAGCTGCTGTACTGACCAGGAGCTGTTACTTAATCCAGAGAGCAGCTGGACTGGGCAGGGAGCCATGCTGGAGGGGTTTGATCCAGGCAGCAGCTGGACTGGGCCTGGCTGAGGGCCGTGCTGGAGAGATTTGATCCAGAGAGCATCTGGACTCATTCAGGAGATTCAGACCAATCCCTCAGTGATGGAGATGGATGGTCTGGTCAGTAGGAATTAGATTCCAGTTTGCAGTGGGGTTTTGCTGCAGTATCCGTGAGTATAGCAAAAGGACAGAAGCCCCTCGTTGAAACAGGTTGTACAGGATTTGAATCGATGAGGCTATGTTAGTATGTTGATGCATAAAACTAGGAACAATCTATTGGTTTAGACTTCCCGAAGTATGGTTCGCCTAAAGTACCCTGATGGTTTGAATGAGCATTGCTGTGTTGCTGACAACAATGTAATTTCCCAAGTAAGAGTAAGAGGATGTGCATGCATGTTAGGTTAGACTCAGTTTGACACATTTTTCTGGAAAGCTAAGATTTTCTCACCAACTTTGGTGGGAGGGTCCAGGAAAGGAAGCAGAAAAAAAACCAAAACTGGGCACTATCCTTCTTGAACTCTAAGTAATCTAGACAGTCTTCAGAATCGCAAGCTAATCTTTATTTTTATCATGATTTTCTTTGCTGTTGGAGGCATATTTGTAACCAGACATCTCCTGAAGAATCTCTAAGGCCCTATTATTCTGTTGCCTCGCAATATTGAGAGCTAATCTGTTCTTTCACTTTGAGTAATTCTTTTAAAAGGATGAAACTGAAGGATGAAAGGTTGAAAAGCAGGGGATTGGTTCAGACTGTCACAGATATTTAGGCAGCTATTATGCATGGCAATGTTTAATTAGATGGTGACCAGGCATCTAAAGTTCCCTGAAGATCTGTGTCGTAGTAAATAACCTTGAAGATGCCATTTGTCTCTTACAGGACATTTCTTACCACTTTTTCTTGTTAAGTGTTAGGTAACTAGAACAATGTGACTGCCTCTATAGTGTGACTTCCAGTTTTTGTCTTGGGTTTATTTCACAGTGTACTGTGCCTGTTAGTAGGGTTTCTTACTTAAAAAAAGGTCATTGTTAGTAAGATTTCTCTAGTAGTCCCCAAATTTATTGGAACCACTATCATTTACACCGCAATACTATGGTTCTCTGGCAAACCCTCATGTCTGTGCCTCATACCAACCTCTCAGTTTTTAAGCTGTAACTGCAAGTACAGCTTAAACTTGCTTAAGCCAACAGTACAACCAAAAGAAGTAGTCTTGCTCTTGTCCCACCTTTAGACACTTGGTCCTCCCTTCCCAACTGTGTTTCTGCTGGTATATTTGTTTGTGTAGTCACAGCATTAATAGCAAAATAGAGGGCTCCGTACTGCTAGTGCTTATCAGGGGAAGGTGACAAGAATAAGAGGAGCTAAGTAGTCTTGTCTTTGTTATGAGGCCCAGGCTGTGTAATGTTAAGCTTGGCCAGAAATTCTAGCTCCTTTTGAACTGCCCAGGAATATATAGCAGATAAATCATGCCAGCTCCTGCAAGGGAAGTGAAAATAGTTTTCTCAAGCACTATTTGTGTGTACTTCATGTACAAGTAATAACAAGACAGCAGTACCCTGAAGAACTGATAACCACTGCCCTGTTACTCTGTGTCACCAACTTTAAGGCATTCACTTACTATTTCCCTAACTTACTCTTTGTCTTTGCAGGTCCAAAGCAAGCACAGTGTAGAGATTGTTGGGGTAATTGAACAGTGCAAGGAAGTGATTGAGGAGCTATGAGTAAACAAGTTAGTATTAATACTGTGTTCCATAGTGTTGGTTTCTCCAATTCCTTTCTCAGCAGCAGATCTTTATGCAGGCCTAGGGAATAAACAACTATACTTCATTAACTATGCTACAGAGACCCGTACATTCTGTCTCCTGTCAAAATACTGCATTCTGGCAGGCAGAAGGGGAAGAAGAGACAGGTTATTACCACGATTATGAACACTAGCTTAGTATATTGCCCAAATAATTTGCTACAGTTTAGTCAGCACTGGTGGCCACTTCACTAATTTTACTGCTCTCTTAATATTTTTTCCCTTCATTCCCAAGTGATGCATGCAGACATTATTTTAAGAGCATATTTCTAACGCATGCCTCATATATTAGTTCTGTCTAAATGAATAGGTGTTCAGTTGAAAGCTGCTGCCAGGACACTTTTATGTTCTGACAGTGGTGAAAGGTTTCCCAGCCTCTTTCTGTTTACTTGGTCCAAGTGAAACTGCCCTGTCATTCTGTCTATCGGGTACTATTGTAACATCATTCTAGTGTAAGTACCTTATTCTTTTCACTTTATCCTCCATGAGACTGTGAACGTTGCTTGTCATGTTGCCTGTCATGCGGTTTAGGGATTTTATAAATAAAAAATATCTGATGTTATGTATAACTCTGGTCAATGCACTGGAAGGTCTTCCAAATAATTTCAAAATGCAGCTTACCTTAAAGACCTGATTTCACATTCCTTAGATAGCAGAACCTCCATGGGAACTTGAACAAGGATAGTAGGATCAGTCTCTTTCACAGTTACTGTGATTAATGTTACAAGACAAATTCTTAATCCTGTGGTTTGATAAAGCCATTTTAATAGTCCATTTCACCACATATTTAAATTGTGTATTGCCTTATTAATCAAGCTGTTCTGAACCTGAAATACGTCACTATATTCTTATCATCTCATTCATGTGAAATAGTGTCAAAGATAGCACTTAAGAGCACCCTTCCTAGGAAAAGTATGGATTATGAGTTTTTAATAGTATTCAACTAATAGACTATGAGATTCAAATATTAATTAGTCTCTTCAAGAGAGAGATTAAGACAGAAGGTATTCACAGTCTCGATTTGGCCACTTTGGTAGAAGGATATAAACGTGTAGTTTTGCATGCAGAAGTTACCCTTTTTAGCTGGAGATGCTCAGCTGGAACAGGATTCAGAGGACCTGTGCTGCTTCAGGCAGATGAGAGCAGGAAGCTATAGAAAAAGTGCAGCAACGAGTTCTGCTGGGCACAGAGTGGATAAAGCCTATGAGTGGGTTTTTTCCTTAGGTTCAGTGTGGACTTAACTCTTGCTGAAATTACGGGTGAAATTCTTGTTGCTTTCAGTGCTGCCAGGCAGTCCAGTTCTAAGCTCTTTCAGAAATCTCACTCCACATTCTTTCAGTTGTTGATTTTGTGGGAATTCTGGAGGCCTTTCAGTCCTGAGCATATCTTTATGTTATGGTGTAATTCGCAGCACTAGAGTTCCTTTTTCCATCTGCTCTCCCCCACTCCCTTCCTTTTTCCATCCATTTTATGTCCATCTATTTTCCTACTCGGATAAGTGTTTGGAGTTGAGTTTGGTTTTGCTTTTAAAGGGCTTCCCTTTTCTTTCCCTCCCTGTACCACTGCACCCCCAGAACTCCATGTTAACTGAGGTACCTGTCTGTCTGGTGATTCCCTGCACTAAGGCTCCCTGTAGTGTCAGGACTGAATGCAATACGTGGACTTTCCGTATAGTTTCTCTGTTTCTTATTCTAAAGGTGGGTGCAATCCTTATCTTAAAGAACTGTACAGTTTAATGAACTGCTGTCTTCCTGAGAGCAAGATACAGAATAACAGTGTGCTGATAAATGTGGCACATGGTCTTAATCTACTGTGGATTTATTAAAGTACAGATGGTGTAGTCTGAGTTCCTAGAATTACCAGAGGAAGTATGTGGTCTTCAAGCTGTTTGTATATGATTAAAAAACCCCTCTGTTTTTCAAAATTTGGCCAGTCAGGTTGGCTTTGAGAACATCTAAACCCTAAGGGAAATGCAGCAGAAATTTCCCTGTCTCATCAGTTGTTTGAATTCAAGCCAACAGAATATAACATGGTTTCCGCTTCAAGTTCTCATCTAGCTTAAGGGTTTACAAAATTAGTTGAATGTAGTCTGATATCTGTGTTGTCAGGCATGTTATCTGATTTAATTGTAGAAGTTTTAGTGCAGTTCTAAGTATTGAACAAAGACTGTCATTCACTAGGTCAGGTAAATTCATTTAGTGATAAATGTTGCCTAGCATAATTGTCGGAAGTGATCAGAAATCTAATGTGAGTGATGTCTTCACAACTCTGCAATGAATAATCCAGTACAAGTCTGGACTGCCCCTTGCACACTCCTTTTATGTGAATGCAGAAGTCTTTCAGTCATGTGAAGCAGAGGCCACTCTGACAGTGAAACAGAAATTCAGAAATTGAACTTTTACTAGAATGACTCATTGTTTTTCGTGTCTTGCAAATATATTGGTTTATTTTTGTATCTTTTTGCACCATACAAAGAGTAAATTTTGTGTGCAAAAAGCCACAGAAGAAGCATTTTGGTGATCTGTCTTGTGCTTGCATAATATGGATAAAGATTTTGGATTGAAATTCATGTCTGGTTTTCCCCACAGTTGTGCCACTTTGACCAATCTTTACATGTGTCATGGAAAGGGAAGGAAAGACTCCTTATTCCTTTTTTTCTCCCTTTGATGACTGTAAAAGTGATTGTCAGGATTTAATGACAAAACAGAACAGGGATTTATTTTGCTCATTCTTTTTTATCTGACTTTTTCCATTTGAATTTTTCAAGTCTTGAAAATGTGTGCATAAAAAGCAATTATGTATTAAAAAATGAGGCTGTTTGCTTCAGTTGATCTTAGTGCTATGAATTTAAAAAGACTAAAAGCCTGCTGAGTAAAGCTTGTATTTGGTTGAGAGAATATTTATTCACTGCCCCACTGATCTTGGGACATAAATTAATAGGAAGCTGTAAGGACCTTGTAATGATTCTCTTCACAGAGTTGAAACCTACTTGTGAAAGAATGTTGGTTCTCTGATGATGCCTGCAAACGCACCTCGCAGCGAGCTGATCAAACCTAACCGCCTGCTCTGACTTCGTCTTCCCGGCAGGCTTTGTGTGTTAAAGTTCTCCTCTGGCCAGCTTGGCTCAGAAGGGCTGAGGCCACTTCTCAAATCAGCATCCAGCATCTTGATTTTTAGTTGTAGTGAAAGACTTATTTGCAGCAGTAACATGTACTTGGCTTATGATATCAATAGTTCTTTTTTTAAGGTTCTGCTGATGCAGTTAAGCTTTGCCTGTGGCTCTTTCTCTTACCTTAAGCTGCAGAAGAATCATTTAAGGTTACTGAGTTAAAGAAGCAAGAGAGAGGAAACATAATTTAGGGATGACTAAATTTGTTTGGGAACTGGTGTTAGGCTCTTTTGTGAAAGAGCCCACCTGGTTCTTTGGTGTAGACAGAACCATTCAGACCAAGCCGCAATAAACCTGTGTGCATGAGTGTGTAGGCAGAATGTTTGCTGGAACTTACTATGTAAGATCCACTGAGTTGTTTCCTCTGAACTGTGTGCTCTGAGAGCCTTCTGCCCTCACATTTGTATGTCGCTCCTTGAAACAGATAAAGTGCTGTCTGCAAAATCAACCAAGGAGCTCTCAGTAGGTGGTGCCAGCTGTTACTGCTAAAACCAGGCAGAACTGAAAGGACAGAGGTTTACGTGGTGTTGTCGTAAGACACAACATTGCCCTCAACCGGGGGCACGCAGACTGCATACTTCATACCTTATGCTATGCCTTAGGGGCACTGAGTGTATACTGGGAAGAAGTTCCTGATGGTGAAAAGCAAGGGAGAGAGCTGATCTCTCTCCTCTGCAGCCTATGTCCTGGGTGAATTGCTGCTATGGAGTGACTGATTGACTAGAAAATTCATGGGCAATGGAAAGAGAAGGAAAGGCGCTCTGTTCCTTTTCGTCCCTGTTATAGCTATGAACATGCCACTCTGTTCAGTAGCAAGATAAACAAGCATTTATTCTCCTCTTTCTTCTTCAGTCAGTCTTCCTCTCATTTGAATTGTTTAAGATTTTAGTTGTTTAAGAAGAGAAGGCTCGGGGGGACCTTCAATACCTGAATCAATACCAGATCAATACCTGAGGGGAGGGTGCAAAGAGGATGGAGCCACATTCTTGTTAGTGGTCCCCAGTGACAGGACCAGAGAAAATGGGCACCAGCTGAAACACAGGAGGTTCCCTCTGAACATCAGGAAACACTTCTTCACTGCGAGGGTGGCTGAGCACTGGCACAGGCTGCCCAGGTAGGTTGTGGAGTCTCCACCCTTGGAGATACTCAAAAGCCATCTGGACATGGTCCTGGGCAGCTGGCTGTAGGTGTCCCTGCTTGAGCAGGAGGTTGGACTGTATGGCCTCCAGAGGTGCCTTCCAACCTCAGCCACTCTGTGATTCTTTGACTTGAAATGGCATCTTTCTCAAGTAAGAGCTTCAAAATCAGCTTGCCAGAAATCTTGTTGATAAGTGGTCTCTGTTTTAACAGGTGAAGACAATGGAGTTTTGGTCCTTGTTAGTAAAAGGAATTATAGTTCAGAAGCAGAGCGCATTGTGTGCAAAGCAGGAAGGCCCTTTCTCTCCGTGTATGAGTGCCTCTGTACAGAGATGGCTTGGTCATTCTGTGTTTCTGAGAACAATGTGGGTTCAGTTCACTGCTGCAGCTCACACCCAGGAGTGAATCACACAGCATCTGTGTCTGCTGTATTTCTGGTTCTGGTTTGGACAAATTTCTGGTTTGGACAAATAGTGTCCAAGCGCTCAGAACCCAAAAGGAACAGGGTGGGGGGAGAAGAGAAGATGGTGAGGAGCAAAGAAAATAAAAATGCTGGAGGAAAAATACTTCATGATTGTTGCGATTTAACCCAGCAGGTAGCTAAAATAACCACACAGCCTTTCAAATGACAATACACACACAGCAGAAGGTTGATGACAGAAAAGGGTGACTGTATCAGACAGAACCCAGATACAGGGTAAACTGAGGTGCGTGGAAAAAGACCTTGGTGTCTCAGTCATTTACTAGTTTACGGCTCAATCTTCTACTGGGAATGCCAGAGCAAGAGGACCGCACAGGAGTTTGGTGAAAATAAGACAACAGATCACTGTCTGGCACTTGCCTTGGTTCCTTTTGCAAATATTTATTCTCACTGTGTAAATAAAGAATAAACAAGTGAGGAAGTATTAAGCTCAAGTCAGTAAGTTAAGGTCCAAATAGATTCACTTCACTTGTGGTGTTTCCTGTAGATATTATATTGGCTCTGAATATTGCATTTCATCAACAACTTTAGGAAATCACATCTGCTAAATATTTTACCGGTGAATATTTTAAATAACTTCAAGACATAATGTTCAAGAGGCTTCCTACTTAATTTCTTTTTTTTTTTTAAATTACATTTTCGGATTACAGTGTAAATCAGAAAATATAATTCAGACTATGAAATAGGGTTACTTTAAAGAATCAAATATTTTCTAGCCATTAGTAGCAAGCTCCCCTTTTATACAAGAGCTTCACAAAAGAAGTCAATAAGATTTCTTTGGTAATGTTTTCAGCAAAATCAACGGTTATTAATCTTACTGTCATAGGAAAGTAAATGTGACAGCGTTGTCAGAATATGTTCTCTCTTTTAAAGTTTGTTGCTTTCCCCCCCCTTTTTTAACAGAACAACTGTTAATAAAAATGGAATTTACCGGTTTGAACAGGCTTCAAAATGTAAGGCAATTCAGGACAACATTTTGTCATCATCTATCAAGAAGAAAAGGTAGGTGTTTACTGTGCTTTCTGCTTTGTTTCTTTTAAATAGAAGGGTACAAGATTGTCCTCTTTTACATAATTCTTGATGATATTAATGTGGAGCTATACAACAGGAAACTGAAATTGTTCAACCAATGTTTGCCTGCATTTTTTCTTTCATATGAATTAGATTTATTTGAGGTTGGATTTTTTTTTTTTTATTTTCACAATATAAGTCAGCAAGATTTCTCCTTGCCAGTTAGCAACATTTTATTCCAAGATATGCACAAAGAGGTTGAACAGAATCTGTGAGGTATATTCTTGAGTGTCTTTTTCCTGATTGGTGAACACTCCTGCTATGAGCAACCTCAGTTAATGGATTCTTTTCAGCATATTCACTGAGTAAGTATGGAAATGTACTGGTATAAAAACTTGCTAATTAATTGCACTCATTATAATAACTAGTCCACAGGAAACTAATAATTCAACTTTGGATACATTGGAAAAACACCCCAAATTAATTTTGGGTTTCAACTTGCTGTTCTGCCTTTTCCTGACATGGAAAATAAATCTTTGATATCAGCCCTGCTCAAATTCCTTGCCACTTTCTAAAGTGAAAATGGGAGAAGCAGCCCATTGCGTTTGACGTGTAACATTTTGCCTGTATGGATGTGCCAATAAATAAAACATTGTAAATAAGAAAAGCTTCCCATTAGGACTGAGTTGCAGCATAAAAGTAATTATATGCCATGGTGTCTTTAAAATTGGAAGCTCCGCCCCCCTCCATTTGTGAAGAGAAGAGAAATGGAATGAGAAACAAAAGCTCTGCTAAAGATAATTATGTGCCTTTCCCCATTCAAAGGACTGGAGAAGCCAAATTTTTCCTTAACACAGAAACAACATTAACTCATGATTTTAAAACTTCTCCCATCTTTTGTGCCCCCTCCTCATTTTCTCATTGCATTTTAACATCTTTCACCTGATTTTAAGTCACCATATTCCCAGCATTCTGTCTTTACTCCCTCCAATATTCCACTAGCAAACAGAGGTCAAAGACTACAGTTAACTGAAAAATTGAGTGATTAACACCAAGAGAAGGACAACCAGTAACTCTATTGCCTCCGAAATCCAGTTATAGCAATATAAATGCTGTTATTTATCCCAGGTGTTAGAAAGTTGTACAGGCTGCAGCAATGCAGACGTGCTCTTCATATCTAGAACATTTTGAAGCTGAGATTATAGGAGAAAATTTATGAAGTGTGAGGCCTCTATTCCGTGGCTAAAGAGAAAGGAGCTGCACCATTTAATGATGCAGAAGATGAATTGGGCAAGTAGGAAGAGAAACTGATGCCTGGAACAAAGGAGCAAGGGATTGCTTTGTGCCATGAATATTGCAACTCATTGCCCTTCACTGAGAGGAGCTGCAGGGTTCTTCATTGCTTTTTCAAGGTGTGACCCACAGGCATGATACATAAATGCTTTATATTGCAGTTCTGGACTTTCAGGAACATTCTGGACACTCTTGCCTCTTAAGTTGGCAGAAAGGGGAAAAAAATACTAGTTTAAAGCTTGTCAAATTATTCCATAGTAAAAAATGCTATGTAAGTGGGAAGTTATTATTATAGCAGGTATGTGCTATAGCAGGTGGTGATAAAGAGCCTGAAATGCTGAGTTTTGCTGGCAGTTTTCCATTTTTATTCTAGAGCAAACTCTGTGCACACTCTCCTGAGGGCTTTAAAAACTGATGGTTATTTGGTAGTATTAAAGTGTCCAAAGGCAAAAGGGATCCTCCTTTTCTCTTGCATTTCCTGCCTTTGTTTTTCTTTTTACTTGCTTCTTTCTTGAACATAAGCTGCCAGGTAGGAATATCTCCGTTTTTCACTCCTGCTGCTCAATTTTCCTTCTAATTCAAATAGCTTTTTTTCAGAAGGGTGTTTAGTTTTAGCAAGTAACCAGTGGGGCTGCATTTGTCTCTCTGTTCTGACATTTTACCTATTGTCTCCCTACTATCTCAACACTTCTGTCCTTGCTATTGTCCTTCAGATATCTGCCAAAAATTAGAAGATACTTATACTTTGTCAGTGCCTTGACTGTGCATAATAATTCTGCTTTAGCCACTGCAGTTAACATAGAAGGTCACTGTGTACCTGACAAGTACTACAGGCAAAAAAAACCCTTCCAGGTGTTATTTGTCAGCAAGGCTGGTACAGTGTAAGTGAGTTTCCTACAACAGCAAGTTACTCTAATGGTTGTGGTGCAGGTGGCAGACCAAAACAGGATGAAACACGTTTCATTCACTACTCTCAGCACTGTAATTATTTCTTGTCCACGTATTTTTATAGTTCAATTTACCTGAGCTTTTTTTAATCTTAATAATAAAACCCTTTAGCATCAGTGAATATGTGCTGTAAGCTCCTGGGTGCCAGTGGAAATATATGTATTGTCCCAGCTCTTTGAAACGGAACAGTGGAGAAGAGGACTGTCTGGGTTACAGCAGAGCCATGAAATGATACCCTGATGGCCTTCTGGACTGATTCCATTGGAGGAATGAGTCCCCAAAGCTCCTTTAAAAGCAGGAAATGCTAAAATAGGCTTTCTGAGAGGAAAACAAAGCTTTTTGGGCTGTTAACCCAGCTGCAGCAAATCCCAGAGCTTCCCTTTGAGTCTTAAAAAAATTAATCTATGGGAATATTGTCTGTATTCAAGTGGAGTTCATTTGATGGAAGCCTGGTATCAGTGTGAGCAGATGTAGTGGCTGCCTTGCAGAGCTGCTGCTGTTGGGAGCTCCTGTCCTGCAGGACATGCTGTGGGGATGTCTCTGCTGCTTGTGGTGCTGTGCCAGCACTGGCGAAGATGGGTTCTGACAGTCCGTAGCATCACAATCACAAGAGGAGCAAAACTGGATGCATAGGGCGAGCGGAGGTGGTGTTCTGCCTTGCAAAGACCTGTAAGTGGTGCTTTTCTGGGTGAGCTGGTGAGCTTAGACACCTCCGAGCAAGAGTGATTCCACCCAGTAGACAACAGTGGAGAGGCAGCAATGTTCTTGCATTGTAATTGGTGTTTTTACAGTAGGTGCAGCTTCTGTTACATGTATAAGAAGGTCCTTACAGTTTCTGACAGCGAGTGCCCGTGTTTCTCAGGAGGCCTCAGAACTAGCATTACAGATGATGCTTTGATTTTTCTCTTTACCAAATGTTTCCCTGTAGCTTGCTAATAACTTGTCAGTCCATGCGATTTCTTTCTGAGCTGATGGCAATTTTTCTTTTCATTTCTGACTCTGATCTTTCTCGTATCAATGTCTTTAGGCTAGAATTTGCTTTTTCCATATTTTTTCCTCCTAGATAATGATAGCCTAAGTAACTGTTAGTGCCCTGTTATCCTATTAATTTTTGGAATTTTTCCCATAAGTCCCAGCATTTGAGGGTTATTTATTGTTTAGCCATAAGGAATAGAACTAGATGAGCGATTCAACACCAGCACAGGCTATTTTGGTCCTGTGCTTCTATCCCATCCTCCTCCTACACGCACTCCCTGTCCTGCCCTGTGCTGGTAGTGACACTTGTCTGACCCCGCAGTGAGCCGATTTAGGTAGCAGCTTCAGCAAGAAAGTAGTTCCACTTTCTCTGGCTGCAGTTCCAAGGTTGCTAATACAACATACCAGCAGGCAGCTGCCAAAATAAGAAGGCCTTGTGCCCAGTTTCACCACTGCCATCACTCCTTGCTTATACTGGCTGTGGTGGTCGGTGGAATCTTTCCTGATCCGCTTTAACACAATAAAGAAGAAGAAAATTGTGTGCGTGGGTTTTTTTTTTCTTTCTGGGTTATTTTTTTGCCATGGTAGTGAATTAAAGTGGCCTATCAAGGCATTTGACAAATGCAAAAGCTGGCAAAACCCAAACAGAGTTGGAGTCAAGTAAGTACCAGCAGCAGCACAAGGGAGAGAACAGATTTGGAGCTGGACTGGAAGGAAGAATGTACAGCACCAGGTCAGATCAGCTGCAGCTGCAATGAAACTAGTTTTGCTCTTCTCCCACTTCTCATCGCTGCTCTCTTGAGCTGTGAAGGGCTCAGTAAAATCAGTTTAGTCACAATCATCTACTTCCTTTAAGAGTTTGCTAAGTCTGGAGGATGAAAAGCGTATGTGTTGTCACAGGTGCAAACTTGAGCCAAAGACCAGTTCTAATGCAGAATTCCTCTAAAAAGTTTCATTTCTTTTTCCATGTGGAAATGAGACACGATTTTACTCAGGGGTAGATAAACAAGTTAACTTTAGCAGTTGCAGTACTTTTATGAAGCAGACAAAAAAAGGGATCTGCTTTTTCAAATGTTTACCATAAAGCTGCGGTAGTAAAAGCATGTTGAACGCAGAAAGAGAAGGAAGCTTTCAGATTGTTCACCTCTGCTGCGCAAGCCACCCCAGCCCTTTTTATATGCCTTTTTATAATTGTCATGCTCCATTTAAAAACAAGTGAGGTTTCTTGCCATCCTAACTCTTGTAAAACTGTTCAAAATACACACTTCTAAGTTACAGCTTGCTTAAACTCACGGTCGTTTGGTTTTGGGCCAATTTTGCTAAAATAATACAAGGTAGATCTTTTCTGGAGACATGAGTCCCACAGCATTTGTAGTCATGGCATCCACATAATCTCTTCTTCCTGTTCCCCAAGTCCTCCTTATAAGTCAGAGTTAGGGTTTTTAAAAAAACTGTATCAGGATCCAAGCACAAATGGGAGAAGTATTAATATAGAATCTGTAAGGGAAGAAATGTCTCCATTCTTTTGACTTAGGTGTTCTGAAGTATTTCACATATGGACAAATGTAAATCTTCTGAAAGGGTTTAAAAGGAGCAGAAAGCTCTTTGGTTACATGTACCAATGTAACCAAAGTGCTGGTTGATGTAAACCAACAGATTGTTTTATTTAAGAGATAATTTGAAGGCAAACTTACATCTGTAAATATTGCTCTACAGTCTTAGATGATTGAATTGAACTTTGGGGCCTCCATAAAGTAAATAAAAGAAAAGGCACGAAAAGTGTAACGTTGCATCTTGGCGGCAAACTTACATCTGTAAATATTGCTCTACAGTCTTAGATGATTGAATTGAACTTTGGGGCCTCCATAAGGTAAATAAAAGGCACGAAAAGTGTAACGTTTCATCTTGGCTTGCCAGAGCTACATTTAAAAACATTTTTGAAGTTTAAAAACCAAGTATAAGAAGTGTTTTTGTATTGTTTTGGACTTTTGCACTTGAGAGGATTTCTGATAACTTCAAGATATTTATGGTCAAATATTTAGGTTTGGAACCAGTGTACTTTTGAAAGTTTCTGAAGAGAAAAGTTCGTTAGGACATCACTATTAAGAAGCGATGTTTAATAGGACATGCTAATTAAATGAGGATAGTACTGTTAGAAATTACAAAAATAAAATAGGTCATGGATTTCTAAAAGCCATCTATTATATATGCACCAGGCACATTATTATTAATACATGCATCGTTTCAACGTTTTAGAGACTGTTTCTAAATATACATACATATGTATTCTAGCATTTGATGTTGTTGCCTTTTTTTAGATATTCAGAAGATTATTATCTTCACATAGTCACAAAAATGCAGAACTGCACTTGGAAAAGGAGACCAGAAGAATCTACAAAATTCAGGTAATTTTCTTAGTCTCATTTAGAAAAACGGTTTACCCTAGATTTGTCTAACAAGCCATAAATTTAAATCTTCCCTTTTGAAAAGATAATTTTGTATTGCTTTTAGGCTGCTTTCATAGCTATACATTTCTATTAATTTTTTGATGCTGGTGCTCTTCCTGTTTATTTTAATTGAACTGTGCAAACTGAGTAGGATAAAAGAATCACACAAATGAAGTAATTTCACCTATCCCCACTATAATGAATAGTTAAGTAACTTAAATAGAATGGATTAAAGCATTCCTGATACAAAACCTACAGTATTAAAAAAAAAAAGTCAGTGATGTGGTTTTGTCCTTCTGAACTGGCACTCCAGTAAAAGACTGTGTAATGAAGCAGTCTATTTCTTACCCCAAGACTATTGCTTCTGTTACAGAAGTGCCCAAGGCACTCATTAGGTTTGATACTGTATGTCATGGCCCCTGAGCACGTAAGCACGTGATTACATCTGTCCTTGTTCAGGATGGCACATAAGTATATGCTCAGTACGGACAGGGATCCCTGAAAAGCTTCCACTCTCATTTGGAAATGCATCATGCTGAGTTAAGAGAATAGCTTCACTGTGCCAACCCTATTTCCTCCAGGGGGAAATACTCTCTTGACTTGTAATAATGTTATCACATGGGTCAGAATTAAAGATTCTGTCATGATCATCAAAAATTAATAAACTGACCTACCTGCCAACTCTTTGGAGTTAACTAGCATTGAAAACTTAGTATCTACATGCTCAGCATGATACCCTTGGAAGACGCAGTTTGGGGAGCAGTAAAGCTTTTTGTGCAACATAAATTGCTGTGTTTGCTGTGTATCAGAACCGATATGGTGTTTCCCAAAGCTGAGGAAGGAGAATACACAGAGTTAAGGTTTAAGAAACTTTCAGTTAACTTAGGCAGGCTTTTGCTGTGCACAGAGATAGCAGAGCATGATAAGGAGCTATAGAAGCAGCACGTTCTGTTTGAGAACAGGCAGGTGTCTTGTACAGAGTTGACGAGGTGAAGCTGCTCTTATCTGCTCTTCACCCTGCTGCATTTAGGTTTTTTGTTTTCCAAGCTTTTTTTTTAACTTCTCTTCCTTCTGAATGGACCAGCTACCACTTACCAGCAATTTGCTGCTACTTCTGCTGTGCTAGGTGTGTGAGTCAGTGGCAGAATAACCACTCCTTGTTCCAGCTTGACTTCTGCATTTATTGCTTCTGCAATCTCCGTTCCACTGGGCCATCTTCTGCATCTTCTAGGCCTATGGGAATCAAACATGACACCCTCTATCTAAACTGTTACATGAGACTGTTGGACTTTAAGTACAAGATGCTTACTGTTCCTCTTGCTGTCTTTGCCTTTCAGCATGGAGTGTGGGTCATAAGTTAGTCAAGGTGGGTTATACAACCCATGATGTTGTATACCACAATGATCAGACTGGAAATATTAAAAAATGAAAACTGTGGGGTGCACTAGACCACTTAGAAAATATGGACTGTATGTACATTGAGGTGAGCTTGCTAGCTTTAACTTGCCTCAAATACCAAGCAAAAAAAAAATCTTTTGAAATCCATGGTTCAGCATGGGCTGGACAAACTCTTGTTACTTAATTGACATTCAACGGCTGTGCTGTTATGGTTTCATTGCTTTTTTAACATCAACTAGCTAGTTCATATGTATACAACCCATGCTGCAATTCTGATGACAGTACTGTATATTCTTCTGTCCCTATGAAATCTAATCTGCTTTGATATCATCCAAAAATTCCATTTATATGACCAAGGACTGGTACTTTGATTTAGGGCATTGTGGATGATTAATTTACAAAACATGCGTGCTTTTGCATAAGTCTTTTCTTTCTTTTTCCATTCTGTCAAACTCCTCTTGTCTCTGTTGTTTTCTGGAAATAGAGTATTAAAATTTTACAGTTGTCCTTGCTCCCAGACCATACTGGAGACTTTCAAGGCTTTTAGCAGCTGGTCATTATAGGCTTAAAAAAAGGAAAACCAGTTCAGTATAAAATTTACTCACTAAATATGTATACACTCCTTGTTTACAGCACTCCCAAACTTATTTATCAGACTTAGGCACAAGACCTGAAACTGGCTTGGCAAGGACACTCTAGCTGAGAAATGATGCATTGACAGAGCTCTATGGGGAACAAAGCTTTTACAAATGTGGTGAAATAAATGAATTAATAATCCCTTGGCAGTACATCTCTTCCTTTTTCTAACATTGCCTAGTGTCAGTAATGCATAATAATTGTGTAATACAAATATTATTCAGTTCTAAAAATCTCATTAAGTAGGTAGATAAACACACCCATTTTGCAGAAGAGGAAATTAATCTCGGAG